ATCCACGACTGTTTGATTCTATATCAGATGAAACAGATTTGTGCTACTGAATTCACTGGAATCTATAACACATTTGAAACGGGAGTTGTAAGTAACTCGTAAGTGGTTCCGTGGAAGTATATTGAAGGTTCCACAGGTCAGTACGATGCATCTGTTAAACATATCATGTGCGAGAACCCATTACCCTTTACACCTAAACTGCGTCAACCATCCAATGAATAGTCTCTTCCCCTCATGTTTTCGTTTTCCGTCACATCCTACGGCAGTTCGGGTCGACTGCCGGTTAATAATAATATTAATAATTCTAATAATCCTTGCATCTGATACGCAGCTTTATCAGGTTGGTGAAGCGTCTCAAAGCGCTTCACGGAATATACTGTAAAGCGGAGTGACTGTGTATTTTGTGGGCCAAACACGGAGCCAGTTGCGCACAGCAGTGTCTCACAAACAGTCATGGGTTGAGTGACCTAATTATTATTGCTTGTTTATTTTTTTTTACAGGTTACAGGGAAATGGTTAAAACCAACAGAGACTAAAAGTCTCTAAAAAAAACGGGGTTTGAAAACCCAGGCCCCCCCCCCCCACCCCCACCCCCACCCCCCACACCCTCCCGCCCAAAATGAGCCGTATTATTTTGACTTTTGTTTAAGAGAAGAAATGTAAGCAGCATTAAGTTGCCCACAATTAAGATGAACTTTAAAAGGTGTCACTTTGATCTCTGTGTGGGCTGACGTGGGTGTTGGGAGCTTCGCTGAAAGGAGAAATGACTGTGCAAAGCCAGTTGGGGCTTACTCATGTCTGGGCAAATTTACATGATGGTATCTACGCAGCGATTGCAGACATTAAACATTAACTACGGAGTTGATTTTGTGTCAGTTCTTAATGAAGAAATCCACAAGTCCACAATACAATGTCAACCTTCAGCGACTCCGATCCAACTGAATACATTTTAAACGGAGGATTCCCTTGAGAAACCGGGATATAACCGAGTAAGGAATTTCACCCACAAAATATACAGTCAATCCACTTTATTATATATTCTGTGAAGCACTTTGAAACGACTTTCGATGTGATAAGTGACAGTACCATGCCAGGATTAATGTTATTGTTATCACATCAGGCGCAAGTCACTTTACGGTATATTCTGTGAAGCGCTTTGAGACTTCTCGACGATGTGATAAGGCGTTATAATAAATGCAAGGATTATTATGATTGCAACAACAACAACAACTTGGATTTATACAGCGCCCTCCGCGCCGGAGGGCATCTCAGAGCGCTTTACAGTAACGGATCCTGGGGCCGAGCCCAGGGGGAGGGGGGGTGGGGGTCGAAAAGAAAGGTCTTCAGCAGAGGCCTGAAAATTGGAAGGGGGGGAGCGAGACGAAGGGAGTGAGGAAGGGAGTTCCAGAGCCTCGGGGCGCAGTGGCTCAAGGCACGGCCGCCGAGGGTGGAGCGGAGGATTCGGGGGACGAGAAGGAGGCCAGACCCGGAGGAATGAAGGCAATGGGTACTGTTTTGAGGAGAGAGGAGGTCAGAGAGGTCGGGGGGTGCAGAGGAGTGGAGGGACTTGAATACAAGGGTGAGGATCTTGAAGTGGATCCGGTGCAGTCTGGCCAGGACTGGGGGGGATCGGGGCCCGGGGTTTGGTGCGGGTGAGAATGCGGGCGGCAGAGGTTTGAATGATTTGGATTTTATGGATGGTAGTGGGTGTGAGACCGGCGAGGAGGGCGTTAGAGTAGATCAGCCAAGAGGTGACAAAGGCACGGACCAGGATTATTAATATGATGATTTACGATTATTATTACACTTTCACTTACTGGAAGAAGAAAGTCAAATATCGAAAGGGAAAATCCAGACTAATTTTTGGAGCAATCAACTCATTGGTATCAGTCAGACTTCTTATTTAAGAGATCTATTAAGAAATGCCACAATATTCATCTTGAGAAATCAACAACTAGTAAAGATTTTGTATTGATCCTGAAAGCAGTTCAGTGCAGTTCAGTCCTGAAACACAATACGGTAAAGTCCCTGTGTGTGAAACAATCCCTATTGCTCTGCGGTGCTGAATTGAAGAGTTGCAGAAAATCCGTTACTAAACCAACAACAACCACATTACACGTGTAAAGCACCTTTCACGTCGGGAGGACGTCCCAAGGCGCTGGACTGTCCGTGTTTCGGACCCGAGCTGGGACACGGGATTGGGGAGGGTGGAGGGCAATGGGGGAAGGAGGGTGATCGAAGGCACGGTCAAAGAGGAGGGTCTTGAGATGGGTCTTGAAGGAGGCAATGGAGGGGTCGAGGTGGAGATGGAGTTCCAGAGGTTGGGGGCAGAGTGACTGTCGATGGTGGGGTGGGCGAGGCAGGGGAAGTGAAATGAAATGAAACCAAAACTGAAATGAAGAACTTATCTCAAGGCTCGACCTTATGTCATTTCAGTTCCAAAAAGTTGACTAACTTGGAACCTATCTGAGGAACCTCAGATCTCTGGCTGGAGAAAACAGGCATTGAATTCAATAAAAAATAATAATAATCTTTGAATTTGTTATAGCGCCTCATTATATCCTGGAGACGTCTCAAAGCGCTTCACAGATACTGTGAAGTGAATTGGCTGTATATTTTGTGGGCGAAACACGGCAGCCAATTGCGCACAGCAGCGTCCCCACAGTCTTGGATTGAGTGACCAAATAATTTTTTTTAAAGGGATTATTGCCCCCACAAAGTGACCTGCCAATCGACTAACAACTGCTCAGCAAAGAGAGGCTTGTGTGTGTGTGTGTGTGTGTGTGTGTGGAGTAAGGAAACTTGCCTGAGGTTTCTCTCTGCCTACCCGGGAATTGAACCCGGGTCCTCTCGCTTGCGAGACGAGAGGGGGGTCTAACCACTGAGCTACAGAACTCCAAAACTGAAATGAAGGTTTTATCTTAAGGCATCGGTGTCATTTCAGACCTCCATCTGGAGAAATCAGGCACTGAATCGAACCTATCTTAGTTACTGTATATTCAAACAAAATCTCCATTTAGCTTCTTGTCTGCATCGCCATCTGTCTCTTTGGCACCAATATCTTATTACGATTTATCGTAAGTAACAACAGATGTACGTGAATTGCAGAATGCGGGCAGAATTGGGCAGGGCTGTGTGTGTACAGAGGTGATGTGCTGCTATATTTAGACTCTTTAAGTATGTGCACATCTAATAGAAAGTCACACTTATCTTCATAGTGTTGCAGGGAGCCAAAGGATCAGCCCCGTGTAACATCACCCCCTACTTCAGGCAACTTATTGTCGTGTCCCATTGGTTGGCCCAGTGTTCAAGATGGCGGGTGCAGGGCAGAAGGTCCCTGGGCGAGTCCACAAGCAGCACAATATCACCCGCACATAACAACAACAACAACAACAAATTGCACATGTAAAGTGCCCTTCATATCGTTGGACAATCAGGGGTTTGGGACCCAAGCCGAGAGTTGGGTTGGAGGGGAGTTGGGGCGATGCGACAGACACACCAAGTCTTTCCCTCTCTATGCCATCCAACAGCAGAACACGGCCCTCCAGGGAGAGAGAGAGAGAGAGAGAGCGCATTCCATTCCAATCAATATCTCTGGGATTTCCATGTGTAGGTGGGATGCATGGAATATCTCAGTTGGGTGTAGGTACAGATACAGATATAGTAATGGGCTTCCGTATGTGTTAGACACCCGGCTGACCCCAAAAGACAAGACACCAGGAGTATTTCTTTACTTAGAGGGTAATTAAAAGCACTTCAAGACATCCTTCCCAATATAAAAGGCATTATATAAATGTAATTTGAGGATGTTGAGATAGGGGACACGGGATTCATTTCAGAAACAGCTTGATATTGTAACGCAAGGATGATAGAATTGTAATCCTGCATGTCTCTCGTACCCTCTGATCCAATCACCTACTGCATCTTCCCTACAACAACAACAACGACGACGACGACAACTTGCATTTGTATACCGCCCTTCATCGAAAAGAGGGGATGGAGGGCACGAGGTGGAGGAATAGAGGGAGAGAGTTCCAGAGTTTGAAAGCGCGGCCATCGATGGTCGAATGGAGGCCACGAGGGACAAGCAGGAGGCCGGAGCCGGTCGAGTGGAGTTGGGGAGTAAGCAGGTCAGAGAAGAGGTTCCAGGGCGTGAAGGGATTTGTAAATGAGTGAGATGATCTGGCGGGGACTGGGGTGATGGGGGGACGGAGTTTAGTATGTGTGATAGGGAGCCAGTGGGGCCTGGCGAGGGCTGGGGTGATGGGGGGACGGGGTTTAGTGTGTGTGTGACAGGGAGCAGTGGAGCCTGGCGAGGACTGGGGTGATGGGGGGACAGAGTCTAATGGCTGTCTTACAGAGAGTAAAGGCACATTTTAATAGAATTAACTCAGGATCTCCCTCACCCAACTCCTAGCGATGGACTAGGTTCTGGCTGGAATCTGAGAGCACGCTGTGTTCTTGCTCTGCCAGTTGGGAATGTTACAAGGCACTGGGATTTGAGTGGGAGATAATATCACTTTCTTTTCAGAACGGTTGCTCGCTCAATGATGAGCCACCCCGATGCTAAACCTCAAAATAAAACAAATTACAGAAGAGAATAACCGTTCAACTGGCTCTCAATGACTTCTCCAGGTTATTTCAGTGTCGGGGTTAAACAGGACAACGGAGAAATCAGATGTATGGGTTCAGGTGTTGGAAGCAGGTCAACCTGTGCCTAATACTCTCCGGAATTAGCTAACGCAAATAACGCAAATAAAGTATTATTATTACTATTACAAACAGGATGAGTCCCTCCTGGGAGAGAGGAGAACACGATCTATCTCTGGGATTTCCATGCGTGGGTGTGACGCACGTACCTTGGCCTCGCTTACGCACAGTATTTTTTGGGGGGTCAGTCTGGAGTCTGACACATGCGGAAACCCATCACCGTGCTTAGCTGGGAAATCAAACCTTCAGGTAGAGAGCGTGCTGCCCACGCTTCACATCTCACAGCTTACCATTAGATTTCCTTTCCTCATTATCTAGAAAGATAGTCTCGTTGGCTGGTTGCTCGTAGAGGAAGAACTGGTAGTGATGGAAGCCGGTGCCAGGTGGTGGGTTGGGCCTTCTATAGTCTGTAACGTAATATAATCAAATTAAATCAAATCGAATCAAATTAAATTAAAATCATCAATAACATTTTCACGTTAATGGGTCCTTTCCTGAAAATAAGCAACTCTTAAGACAGATTTTTTTTTAAATTAGATATGTTCATCAAGTATATTGGCTGTCCCAAATGTGTCTTACGCTCAGGCACCCGTTCTGATCATTACACAAAGCTGAACAGCATCGCTTGCGAATCTCCCGTCGACAAACTTGGACAAGAACCTCAACCACAACAGCTGTTGCAAAACAGGCTGGAAGTTCTGACCATGATAAAAGGCGATGGGAAGGTGATTTCTCCTTAGAATAAAGACGAGAATAGAATTTTTTTTATCGTGGAGTCCTGGAGCTCGGTGGTTAAAGCACTCGCCTTGCAAGAGCGAGGACCCAGGTTTGATTCCCGGGCAGGGGGAAACCTTAGGCAAGTTTCCTTAATCCACGCACGCGCCTCTGTTTACCGAACAGTAAGCAGGAACCCCGATTGTTAATCAATCGCCCGGGAGTAATAATCCCTCCAAAAAAAAAAATTGGTCACTCAATCCACAGCTGTTTGTGGGGACGCTGCTGTGCGCAATTAGCTTCCGAGTTTTACCCACAAAATACCCAATCAATTCGCTTTACAGTGTATCCTGTGAAGCGCTTTGAGACGCCTCGAAGACGTGATAAGGCGCTGCATCAAATGCAGGGCTTATTATTATCCCTTTATTCTAAATTTCACCTCTAATATAATTCCTCTGTACCGCTGACGCCGCAGCCCGACGATGTTACATTGTCATTTCCCTTATGTGCTTACACACTTTACTCCTGGCCTCCGAGAGAGAACAACCGGCCGAGGAGAGAGAGACCCCTTTGCCTTGGGGAACGCGCATAATGAGAGCCATCTTAAAGTGCTTCACGGAACACGTTGTAAAGTGTAGCGACTGCGCATTTTGTGGGGGCGAAACGCGGCAGCCAATTGCGCACAGCGGCGTCCCCACACTCGTCGTGGATTGAGTGACCCAATTTTTTTTCGGGGATTGTTACTGCGGGAAAGCGATTCACCAATTGATTAACAAGCAGGTTCCTACTTACTGCTGGTTACACAGAGGCTCGTTGTGTGTGTGCGTGTGTGTGTGTGCGTGGGGGGTGGGGGGGGAGTAAGGAAACTTGCCCAATGTTTCGCCCTGACCTGACTCGCCCGGGAATCGAACCCGGGTCCTCTCGCTCGCGAGGCGAGGGCTCGAACCCCTGAGCTCCGGGGAACTCCACTCCACACGCCCTGCGCTGACCTTGAAGTCTGCTCATTTGCTGTAAAATTGTTCAATATTTTTCCCAGTTTTTTGCTGACAATGCCAGGAGGCGCCGATTTTATGGAGTTGTTTTTAAAAGTTAAAGGACATATCCTGCCACACCCCCCCCTTCCCCTGTTAGTAGGTCTTGTGTTCCTGACAGTCATGTCACTAGAGGGCTCACTGCAGAGTTCATGCTCAAATCATCAACCTGGGTTCAATTCCCGACAGGACGAAATGTTTGCCACGTTTCCTTACTCCACACACTCCTCTTTACCGCGGGGAAAGTGGGAACCCGCTTGTTAATCAATTGATGGATCGCTTTTCCGGGGATAATAATCCCTTCAAAATAAATAAAAATAGTTTGGCCACTTAATCTACGACTGTTTGTGGGAACGCTGTTGCGCTCAATTCACTTTACAGTGTGTCCGGTGAATCGCTTTGAGACGTCTCGAGGACGTGATCGAGGCGCTGTATCAAATGCCAGGATTATTATTATTATTTGTACGGATACTAGCGACAATACAATAACCTCTTGTTTTCCAGGGATCTGATTAGTGTTTAACTCGGAGTTTTGCTGTCAGTGCCCGCGGCTCACATTACCAGAGGACGTGAGAAAAAATGACTGCAATTTCCAAGCAGCATCAGTTTTTAGCTCACACATCATTAAACTCCGTCTCCTCTTAAAATGGTCACCCGTGCAAATGCAGCAGAGTTGCCTAAGCCGACGATGTTCTCGCGGAATTCTTTGTTTGCCACAAATATACTTATCACAAATGTCCAAGGCAGCTTTTCCCGGGTTCGTTATAACTAACCACAACCCAAGCAGAGGTGGGGAGCAAGGCAAAGGGAGTGTTGGGTTGGAGAGGCAAAGGATGGGAGCAGAGAGGCTGAATGCCCGACCGCTGACGGAGGGGTGGGCCATGCAGGGCACGTGGGACTTGGGGATTCTGTGCAGAGGATAGTGGATAGATCTATCGGGAACAGCCTGTCTGGCTCATCAATGAGGGGTAGACATGTCCTCAAGTTAAATTCCAGCTCTTGGGTTGCGTTTTACATTAGGTCGGGTCTCGAAGGTGTAAGGGTTAATAGGATTAGCATCTCTCAGGAAAACTTCAGTATAAGATCATTACAAGTTTCCACCTATTGCTATCTCTGTCAAAAGTCACAGTTCCTTTCAGCGGATGCAGATTTGCTTTTTTATCTAACATCACTCTTTGCTGTCAGTCTCTGCCTATTACTTTTGCGTCTGGAATCTGTCTACGCTGTACGCTTCCTTTCCATTCGCTTGTCAGACTAGTCAAAGCCAAGCATTGCAGTTGAAATGCCTTGAAATGGAAGACATAATCAGAAACTCAAACTCAGTCCCAGACGAAGTCCCTGTCATTGTTCACAGTGACCTAATTTTGCAAACATTTCACCGTGAATTTCTCTCTGAGGAACATGTACACCCTCGTCAATATCCTCGTCCTCTCTTTCGAAGCCCTCCACGGCCTTGCTCCTCCATATCTCTGTGACCTGCTAACTCCGTATAGACCTGTCCATTCACTCCCCTCAGCGGCCTGCTCCATGTTCCGCACCGTCGGCGGTCGGCCCTTCAGCCTCTCTACCCCCACCCTTTGAAACTCCATCCTACAGTCTCTTCCCCTCACCCCCTCTCAAGGCCCACATCAAGACCCTCCTCTTCAACCTTGCCTTCGGTCACCTTCCTCCCCACAACTTTCCCTCCTGTTCCCAACCCCCAGCTCGGCTCCAAATTCCTGACTGTCCAGCGCTTTGTGAATCCTCCCGACATGAAAGGCGCCGTGTAAAAGTCATTGGTTAGTTGTTGTTGTTGTAGTAGTGAATTTGAATCGCCATCAGAGACAAATGGCATGGCTCGGTGTTTATCGGCTAGAAGCTGTACAGTTCTGGAAATAGGTCTAACAAAATCTGCAAGGCTTGGGGTGGGGGAGCGCAGAGTGTGTGTTGGGGGTAAGTGCTGGAGTCTAACCATCTAAACCCACACACAGCTCCGGCCATTGATGTCGCTGTCTGGCCGAGCTTTCCCGCTGCTTGTCCGGCTCGGACCCCCCTCCCCGTTAGTTAGGGCTTTGGCTGTGGGGTTAACAGGAGCTGAGGGGGAGGATTCCCGGCCCCCGGTGACTGGTCGGCCCTTCCAGGTCCTGCCAATGAGCCGGGCCGGGCTGTGCTGCCATCACCTGGAATACCGTGGACCCTCCTGGCTCAGGAACCAGGACGAGAGACCGTCACAGAGGTGGGGGGGGGACTCGATTCCAACATTCTGTTGACAAACACATCACCTTGGAGCCAGTTAAGCTCCATGGATACACTGCTTAATTTCCAGTATTATAACCTGTAACCTCAAAACACATGGGATACATGCATGTTTGGGCCATTAATTGGACCCTGTAGGTAATTGTTTCAGCAGCAAAATGTTAGTGGCAAAATAGGAGGGGATTCGATAGGGTGAACAGGGAGAAAATGTTTCCGCTGGTGGGTGAGCCGGTAACCTGAGGACATGGCTTTAAAATAGTTGCCAAAAGAACCAGAGGGTAGGTGAGGAGAAATGTTTTCACACAGCGAGTTGTTGGGATCTGGAATGCATTGCCCCAGAGGGTGGTGGAAACCGATTCCATAACAACTTTTAATAGTGAAGTAGTAGATCATTATTTTGGGGAGAACAAGTTTGCAGGGCTATGGAGAGAGCGGGGGAGTGGGGTTGATCAGGGCTATGGGGGGAGAGTGGGGGAGTGGGGTTGATCAGGGCTATGGGGGAGAGTGGGGGAGTGGGGTTGATCAGGGCTATGGGGGGAGAGTGGGGGAGTGGGGTTGATCAGGGCTATGGGGGGAGAGTGGGGTTGATCAGGGCTATGGGGGAGAGTGGGGGAGTGGGGGTTGATCAGGGCTATGGGGAGAGAGCGGGAGAGTGGGGTTGATCAGGGCTATGGGGAGAGAGCGGGGGAGTGGGGTTGACTTAGAAGCTCTTTTCAAAGAGCCGACACAGACACGATGGGCCGAATGGCCTCCTTCTGTGCTGTATAATTCTATGCTTCTATGATACCTGTGGTCTTCTATGAAGATCAGCCTCGTCTCAATCTCACTGTGTAACTCCAGTTAGCACACCTCCTCCTGTTGACTAAGGCACTGAGCAATACTGGTGTCATAGTTCTGGAGAAGTGTTTGTGCCAATGCCTCCTCTCAGCTGGAGGAAGATGTGTAGGCCTGGAGGTGGTTGTGATGGGGGTGTAGAGCAGAGCGCATAAAGGAGAAAATGTACAAATACCGATGAATTAATGCTTACGTGAAAGCTCTGTGCCTACAATCGTTCCGTCGTGTAGATTTTCAGGCTGTCAGGGGAAAAGGGAAAGTGTGAGAGACACTCAACATTCTTTAAAGTACCGTTACTCAATATTATAATAATAATAATAATAATAATGCTTGCATTTGATACAGTGCCTTTGACTGTGCAGTTTGTGGGTAAACACAGCAGCCAATCGCACACAGCAGCGTCCCACAAACAGTCATGGATTGAGTGCCCAAATTATTATTATTATATTTTATTTTTTTGGCACACACCGCCAGAAAGCGATCTGCCGATCAACTAACAACCGGGTTCCTACTTACTGCTAAGTACACAAGAGCCAAAGGCTCACCTGCAATGTGTGGAGGAAGGAAACCTGCCTAAAGTTCACGTCCGGGAATCAAACCCAGGTCTTGTTGCTTGCGAGGCGAGTACTCTAACCGCTGAGCTACAGGGCGCCACAAAGAATTATAACAAAGGATTTATTCTGTCATTCCTCGAAGATTATACTTCGAGGTTTGGTTTACCATTGCAGATGATCCTTCAGTCAATCTCATGTGTGTCTCCCAGTGAAGGGTGTGTGATCAGATTCCCTCCCCACGTGACCTGTATATGAGGTGCAGCACCGAGCAAAGCTGCCTCTCTCTCCTCCACTCAACAAAAAGTAGTAAAGACTACTTTACCGGTTCACATTTTGTGGAAAGGGCTGAGGAGTGGAGCTGAGCTCTGCCGGTGCAACTGGGAAACACTCAGATTCTTCCCCATCCACACGTGGAGGGGTTTGCAAAGGTGAGAGCGCCTTCCTGCTAAGGATTCCTAAAGCCGGATTGCATGTCCAGCTGGAGGTTAAAGATCCCACCGGCACCATTCATCGAATCGTAGAATCCTACAGCGCAGAAGGAGGCCATTCGGCCCATCATGTCTGTGCCGGCTCTTTGAAAGAGCTACCAACTAGTCCCACTCCCCCGCTCTTACCCCAACTAGTCCCACTCCCCCGCTCTTACCCCAACTAGTCCCACTCCCCCACTCTTACCCCAACTAGTCCCACTCCCCCGCTCTTACCCCAACTAATCCCACTCCCCCGCTCTTACCCCAACTAGTCCCACTCCCCCGCTCTTACCCCAACTAGTCCCCATTCCCCCATTATTTTTGAATCTGCTTCCACCACTTTTCAGACATTTTGTGGTTTTGCTTATTCTAAAATAATAAGTGTCCTGGCCAACAATCTCACAATCAGATTGATCATTCACTTCATGGCTGTTAATTATTATAAGCCCAGGTCCTAGAAAGAGAATGAATATAATACTGATAATAATACTGATAATAATAATAATAATAATAATAATAATAATAATAATAATAATAATAATAATAATAATAATAATAATAATAATAATAATAATAATAATAATAATAATAATAATAATAATCCTTGCATTTGATAAAGCACCTTATCAATTCTTTGAGACATCTCAGGGCACTTTGCAGAATAAAGTGAAGTGACTGTGTATTTTGTGGGTGAAATGCGGCAGCCAACTGCACACAGTGGGGTCCCAGAAACAGTGATCAAATTATTATTTCTTTTAAAAAAATTTAAGGGATTATTACAACACGGCACCTACTTCCTGTCAGGTAAACAGAGGTGTGTGGTGTGAGAAAATTTGCCTAAAGGTTCATCCTACCCAGAATCGAACCCAGGTCATCTCGCTTGCGAAATTTTGCGTGTACTTTGTGGGCGAAACTTCCTCCCAGGCTTAGTTGATTAGGAATGTTCGGTACATTTCTATGGAAGAGGGATTAACTGCGCTATATCATACTCTTAAAAAATCCAATTATTCTTAATTTTATTCGTGATCCCCAACGTACGATTTTTTTAATTCAATAAAGAAATAGAAGTAGTTCATTGAAATGTGTAAATAACTAAATGATTGTGTCGCTGCCCCAGTGTGTGCCCTACATGTTGTGCATGCTGAAATATAGTTTCCTAGAATGAAGAATCCATGATTCCTACAGCTGTATATTAATGACATGTCTGTTTTATTATAGTGAGATTCAGTAATATGTTTATTTCCCATTTCAGCATGTGCACGCATCAGCCTTACATTATTATGTCCTGTAGCTCAGTGGTTAGAGCACTTGCCTCGCAAGCGAGAGGATCTGGGTTTAATTCCCAAGCAAGAAGAAACCCTCGGCAAGTTTCCTTACTCCACACACACACACACACACACACACACACACAGCAGTCAGTAGGAACCCGGTTGTTAGTCGATTGGTGGATCGCTTTTCCGGGGGTAATAATCCCTTCAAAAATAATAATTTGGTCACTCAATCCAACGTGGGGACGCTGCTGTGTGTGGAGTCCTGTAGCTCAGTGGTTAGAGCACTCGCTTTGCAAGCGAGAGACCTGAGTTCAATTCCAGGCAGAGGGCGAAACCTCGGGCAAGTTTCCTTACTCCACACAGAGCCTAATAATAATTCCTCCAAAACCAAAAACAATAATAAATTGGTCATTTTCAATCTACGACTGTTTGTGGGACATTGCTGTGCGCAATTGGCCGCCGCGTTCGCCCACAAATACAATCAATTCACTTTACAGTGTGTTCTGTGAAGCTCTTTGGGACGTCTAGAAGACGTGAAAAGCACTATATCAAATGCAAGGATTATTATTATTATTATTATAATATTGAACGCAAGAGCCAAGGCTTGGGGAACCCAGACCCCAGCTAAAACCGCATTGATATCGCTGTCTGGCCAAGCTTTCCCGCTGCTTGTCCAGCTCGGACCACCCTAGCTGTTAGGGCTTTGGTTAACAGGGGCTATCGGTTGAAAAATAATACCCGGGGAAGGGAGCGGGTAAATGTGATGAGAGCAAGTAAAGCGAGTGGGAAGCTAGCTTGGCACCAGGAACCGAATGGCCTCCTGTGATGGAATCTCAATGAAGTGAAAAAATGTGAAATTCAATTATCGCAATCAACTTGCCAGGGGGGAGCTGAAAGAGATCTAAGAGTGTTAGTTGACTCATCGCCTCACCGTGACAAAACAGTGTGAGTGAGGCAGCAGTAAACAAGGCAAACAGAACGCGAGGTTGCATTGCCAACTCAGTTGATTACTGGTTGGCAGAAGTCACACTGAAGCTATACGGTGGACTGGTCAGGGAGCACTTCAACTTCTGGTCACCGCGACACCAGAGGCTGCTTTATGCCCGAGAAGACAACGGAGAGAAGAACCACAAAGATGATTCCCCCAGTGTCAGAGGAATGATTTACTTTGGTCTTGACACACGCAGAAACCCATCCCCGTTGCTTAAGAGTCTCCAAACCAAGCTGAGAGTTCCATGCGTTCCCCCCCACCCCCTATGGACATGTTGGATTGGAATGCTCTCTCTCTCTCTCTCTCTCTCTGGAAGGCACCCATCCCCTGCTTATCTAATTCCGGAAAGCGTTAGGCGCAGGTTGGCAAGAGCCAAGGCTCGGGGGGAGCCCCCAGAGTGTGCGTTGGGATGTGCTGTGAAGTGTGAGGACTGCGTATTTTGTGGGCGAAACGTGGCACGCCAGTCACACGCAGGCAATGTTTCGCAAACAGCCGTGGAGTGAGTGACCAATTTTATTTTTGGGGGGGATTATTATCATTATTATTATTATTAGTGAATTAGTACCGTTATTGGTCTCCGTCGACTGCAGACGCATTTGTTATTCCATTGTGTAACTTAAGGTATATCTCAGGCTTTTCAGCGCAATTCATCTCAAACTCACACTAAGTTCCCTGCAAACTAAGGCAGCGTGCCTTGCAAGCTCAGCAGTCACCGATCCTCATCAGAGACACAAACGCAGGCGTTGTCATTAGAAATGGTCAAGGAACAAAGATGGCACATCATCTTTTTTGACATGTTCTGTAATTTGCAGAGAAACATGATTTACAGCGGCAACATTTTTCGGTTCCCAACTCAACTGGGAATTTGGGGGAACGGACAGATCTGCCGTAAAAGATCCCAATCATCTCATCCCTCAATCAGTTGAGATCGCCAAGAAATTCCTCTGCTCGGTTCTTATGCATATACTTTAGAACAACGTAAAGTATTTCTTTTTTGAACAAGTGGACAGGGTGAGTTTCTACGCAGAGAACTTGTGGAAAACTTGTATTACGCAACACACATTATTAATAATAAGAGTCCTTGCGTTTGATATAGTGCCTTATCGCGTCGTTGAGACGTCTCAAAGCGCTTCGGAGAATATACTGTAAAGTGAATTGACTGTTTTGTGGGCGAAATGCGGCAGCCGATTGTGCACAGCAGCGTCCCCACAAACTGCCGTGGATAGAGTGACCCAATATTTTAAAAATTTGAAGGGTTTATTACCCCCGGAAAAGCGATCCGCCAATCGACTAACAACCAGGTTCCTACTGACTGCTGAGTAAACAGAGGCGCGTGTGTGTGTGTGGAGTAAGGAAACTTGCCCAACGTTTCGCCCGACCTGACCCGCCCGGGAATCGAACCCGGGTCCTCTCGCTTGTGAGGCGAGTGCTCTAACCCCTGAGCTACAGTCTGGAGTCATCAGGACTCCAGAATAGAATCAGTGCAGAAGGCCGTTCGGCCCATCGGTCCTGTGCCGGCTCTTTGAAAGAGCTACAAGGTAGGCAGCCCCACTCCCCCACTCTTACCCCAACTAGTCCCCACTCCCCCACTCTTACCCCAACTAGTCCCACTCCCCCACTCTTACCCCAACTAGTCCCACTCCCCCGCTCTTACCCCAACTAGTCCCCACTCCCCCACTCTTACCCCAACTAGTCCCCACTCCCCCACTCTTACCCCAACTAGTCCCCACTCCCCCACTCTTACCCCAACTAGTCCCCCTCCCCCGCTCTTACCCCAACTAGTCCCCATTCCCCCACTCTTACCCCAACTAGACCCCATTCCCCCGCTCTTACCCCAACTAGTCCCCACTCCCCCACTCTTACCCCAACTAGTCCCCACTCTCCCGCTCTTACCCCAACTAGTCCCCACTCCCCCGCTCTTACTCCAACTAAAGCCCCACTCCCCCGCTCTTACCC